GATCAAAAAGTAATGTCACGATGTCAGTATCTTTTATACTTGGCGTCATATTGTAATATATACGCTATGCAGAAATTTGCACATATATTTATATATCTATATTTAACGTTTAAATTAAGTTTAATCATGTTAAACAATATTTTAAAGATATTTCAACAAAAAAGGCTGGGGTGTCGCTGCATAACAACTAAATGTCACGTTTTAAAGAATATTCTTTAAAATGAAAAATTACAAACAAACTTAAAAGATAGTTTTTTTTAAATTGTCAAGAAATTACACCATATTCCAATGAAAATTTCTGAAACACATGGAGATAATTAACAGTATTCAAGATCAAAAGTCGATAAAACAATACTAAATAGGAACAGAGCAAACATGGACATCCTAAACATTAGAGGTGGAATCAGGTGCCATGAAGGAGTGAGCATCTTTTGCCGACTGGTCACACCCGCCTTGTGTTCTTTGTAATGATCGGGAAATAATGAAATTGCTATTTTTTATTTAAAACATTGTGTTTTTCTCTGATGCATTGCAGAAATCCCACCTATGATATTTTGGAGGTCCGTGGTTTTTTTTTGCTTCTATTTTGTATTGTTTTATGGATTTTTGATCTTGGATACTATTCTTTATCTCCATATGTTTCACAAATGAAGTGTAAAATTGGGTGTAGAGATCTGTAATGCATTCTGCATTTTTAATTCGAAATGGGGAAATCAGCAATACTGAGAGTTTTGTTGATTTATTAAAATATACCTTCATGACATTACTTTTGGATCAACCCTAGTAACTTGACAGCCTATTGTTGATATATCTTATTGTCGAATTGAAGGTCATTTTCTAATACAGTATTACAATACTGAAGAAAAAAATCAGGAATTATTTCGTCAAATAAATTGGACAGATCGATTCAAATGAATTCGGAACGCCGTTATCGCGGAAATATCGAAGTACACAAGTGTACAAATATTCCTTTTACGATGTAGAAGTCTGGTTCCCTAGCGATGTCTACTAAGCAATAAAACTGTGTCAATTAGAATATCAAAGATCATTAAATTCTTACATGTTTTGATTGAAATTAAATAAAGTTGACAGTGGTGGAATTCACAAATCTTAAAAACGTCAAGACATACTAATCTTTGTACAATTGGCATAAAACAGGGACCCCTTCATATTTCAGAAGTCAGATCGAGTACTTCAAAATACATGTATTCAATGTAGAGTCTTTCAAAATATAATGACATTTTGGAAATATAAATTAATTCGATTCGATTAAATAATATAAAAAGTGTTGGTAAAAATTCAATTGTTGAGGTTTTAAATCAAACATTAAGTTACAAATAACTGCATCTAACTGTTCTACTATGATGAGTACTGGGACTACAGATTGTTATAGGTAATATGTTATAACTTTGGTTCTGACTTACAGAAAAGATAAATACACATTATTTCTTAATTTATGGAGCTTATCAATACATTTCTAAGGATCCGTCTCTTTTTTTTCTATTTTTGTGTAGGTCGACTGGATCACCGTGTTGCTTCAATCAGTATCTTGATCCGAAGAACAAAAGTTGCACAGGTATGTATAACTTCAACAAGATTTTCTTTTCAGCCTTGAAGATTTGAGATTTAGATAAAATATAATATTGCTTAATTTTGCCCCCGCGAAAGACATATTTTGAGAATTTCTTAAAATGCACTGAATGTTTATATATTGTTCGACAAATCTTAATTTACAAAACTTATCATAGTTTCAATGCAGGTTATTGACTTTTTGTGTTTTATGACGTCACAAACTATTAATATTTTGTTTTAACTTTCAGAAAGAGAAAGAAATGGACAAATATGCTGTATTTTTTCCAAAAAAATCATATTGCACAGGCCTGCTCAAGAACAATACTTACAGATATAATTGATACTATCATTCGTCGTATTTTATCAAAATATTAAGCTGGAGCAGAACTGCGCTCGCTGACTTTCACTCTAAATATTGACGTAATTTACGTTTTTTGTGTAGAAATCGTGAACATTATAAATATATGTAATTTTTGAACGTCATTTCAAACATATGAAGCCATGGCGTATGATACGATATGCCCCGTGTGGGGCTAATCTCTTAATCTCAACAAAAGCGGAAAATAATATCAGATATCAAAATATGATATAGAGAAAGATAGATTAGAAATTAATGTATCTAAGTAAGATTTTGTGACTCAGATTTCGCAGAAGGTGGACGTGCGGTACACCACCAATTTGTCAGGTTCCTGTGGTCTTATTCAGCATACCTCACTGTCTAAATATCTAAGGTAGATAGCATGAAGACAAAGTTTACATAAGCATAAGAACTAATTATATAATAATTAGTACCGTTTTATGATCCACAAGTAGAGACATATTCAGCTGATAAGGAGTGTTGCTACTGAACCAATGATTAAAACGATAACCAACGTCCATGTGCTAGTATTATTTTGTTCTTCCTGTATTGGAGAGATATTCCCTTGACATCCAGACTCAGGATCACACTGGTGGGCATAACATTCACAGGGAAGCCTGCAAAGATTTCCGTAGTAGCCTGTCATGCATTGCCATTTACAATTTATTCCAAAGCTTCCTCTGGGACATTCTAAATAACAGAAAAATATATATATTAAAAGAAATAAATTATGAATTTAAAAATGTAACGTTGTAAGTGTATACATGTATTCATCAAGTGAATAAAAACTAGCCGTTACAAAATCAATAAAAAGAAAAATTATTTTGTGTTTTTCTTTTACATTTTCTGTGTTTTTTTTCTCTTTACAGTAGTGAATTCTTTTTGCAAAGCTTTTGAAAGAATGATACGTGCAAACAAGCATCTAAAAATTGATTTAGATAAAAAGAAAGAATTTTCAGATTGATAGTTTTAGTTTCATGAAGGTCAATTAAACCTTGTTGTTCGTAGGGAATACTTTCCAATAATTTTTCTGTTTTGAAAAATAAGAGTGTTTTGTCGTACACTTGTTTATTTTTTTTCCACAGTAAATAACACATCAGTTAACATATGGATTACCGTAAAGATAGAATTTATAGGGAGGCAAAAATTTAGCAAGTCAGCAAAATTTAGCAAATAGCTCTTAAGAGCTAATGTTCTTTTTTGTTATACCCGACTTTATATAAATATTATCTTAAATAAATATTATCTTATCTTATCAGTATTTAATTTTAACGTGAAGAAATTTGAGTGATTTTATGGTATATAGAAGGATGAAAATAACCTCTAAGTTTTTAGCAATATATAATTCAAGAGATCTCAACAACTCGCTATATATGCTTAAATTTTTTCTAAAAGTTCTGCTTAAACGGCAATAAAGGGATAAATTTATTTCATAGTTGAAAATAATATATACAATTTCACTTACTTACACATCTGTTATTTGCTGAATCAAAAAGATGATTGTAGCAACAAGTACTATTTTTTCTAGACAAAAAGAAAACTTTTAAAGTAACCAAATTTTTAAATTAGAAACGCATAAAAAACATAAATAAATTTGATATTTATATCTCTATTTAATAAAAAAAGGGATAATAGTATATTCTTTAAAAAAAGTACAAACAGGGAAGTTTTACATTGTTCATTTGACAAGATATACTTTACTCTGGTATAAATCCGTACATGTATGTCACCTTACTTGAGACAAGGATCAGCTGAGAGTATCACACTACTACAAATCACTGTAAAAATCACACAAGACTGCATAATGGTACTTTTCTCCATTAGGATATATTTTTTTCGCAAACGAAGATTAATGTATACCCGGATGTTTTCTTTGCGATTTTTTAAAAAAGGAAATACATAAATAATGGCATATCTATATACGACTCAGTAAAGAACATCACATATACACGAACGCATTAAGAATAGAATATTTGAAAAATTTTGGAAGATTTTTGTTTACAATGGAAATACAAATACAGTTATTTTGTAAATAGGAAAAATTTCTTCTTTATTCTTGAGAAATGTATTATTGTTAGGTTAGATTATATTGTGTACAATTTGTTTAAAATCATTCATGTATTGAATTGTTGTCACGTCTATAACTTGAAGAATGTAGTGTAGGGATATTATAATTTATATACATAATTTTTTTTTTACAGAATACAGTATTAGCATGAGAAAATATCAAGTATTCATAAACATTACTTTTAATCGTTAAAATCGCCTTGTGTCAAATCATATAGTTACATTATTATTGTAGACAAGATACAATATTAGGAGGAAAAATAATATAATGCTAGTTCTATTAAATTGAATAAAATAATTCATTATCAACTATCTAGGAGTACAAATATTATTTCTGATAGTCACAGGTACCATGCGTACAGGTATTATCAAAAGTAAACTAGAAATTGATCTAAAATATTTTTTTAAAATGATTTTGTTTCCTGGTCAGCTATGAATTATTCATTCTCGATTCTCTTTTATTCACATCCTTGATATTGTTATTTATGGTAAATTTTCACATTGCTCTCTTCTGTGACATTTTTCTCATAGATTTTCCTGTTTCGACTTTCTATTATGTATAACACTATAGGGTCGCTCTGCCTCTTTAAAAGACTCTTTAAAGAGAAAATCCTCCTCAGTTGAAATAAGGTTGTTTTCGATCGATTTTGGCAGATTTTTCAAATTTGCTATTTGTCCCTCCGAAAAAGATCTGAGAAGCTTATTTGAGTGCTCTTCTGTTTTCTCCGATTTTTTTTTACTTATATCCAAAAGATGAGAATCGTTATGGAGTATGAGGTCTTCAGTCGTTGCTTGTAAATCTAAAGATCTGCTCGACCTTAGACATACATACTCATCATCTTTATCGCTGGACAATTTACTTTCTCCGAAAAGATAATCAGGACTGGCAAAGTTTTGTTTCTCTCTGAATTGTAAAACATGATAATCAATATGAAAAGAAATCTTTTCATACAGGCTGTGTGTAGGCAGATGTTCATTACCAGAAGCATCATTCGTTTTTCGTATATACACAGAAAGGTTTGATGTAATTGTAGTGCTACTGCATTGATTAAACTGCGATTGACGAATTTCATCATAGTCTCCTAATCCTTCTGAATCAATAGTGTCTGTGTCCTGAACATTTTCGTTGGTATGTTGAATGTTGACAGTTGTGTGATCTTTTTAATATATAAAAACATTTAAATATGCTTTAAGCAGAAAAATTGAAGTTTTACATTATTATATATAGACTCCAGATTACAGTTAAATGTTTACGTAAAATTCAGTTGTATTTATTTTATTTGTACTTTATCCTTACATGTTATTTAATAAAACAATGCAACTGAGTTAGGAATTATGTTGCTACTTATGAGAGTGTGTCTCTCTATTTATGTAGTCATGGTACGTGAACAAAGTATTCATTACCTATACTAGTACCTGAATGTCGTAAATGAAAAGGATGGAGAACTTTATTTGGGCACCTGGAGGAGAAGGAAAGAAGTTCATATAGGCAATATCGAATAAATATATCATACATGCAAATATAAGTTATTTTCATTTCCATTTTTATTTTCGAAACGAAAATTATGCATACTTGTTAGATGAATGTAAGTAAATTGAGATTCCACCAATGAAAGCAATTGATATCAAGATGATTAGAAGTATGCTAGTCAACATCCAATGGTTCTCCTCGTTGGTAAAACTTGACTGTTCTTGATTTGGTGTGGATATCACTTGGTAACGAGGTGTTGCTTTATTTGGGGACACAGATCTTGATGATCTTCTCTCTCTCCTTTTATGTTGAGTTGTTCTCATGACATGGTTTTCGGTAAAGGTGTTAGAAAGACTCATTAATAAATGTTTTGTAAATTCTAAATGAAAATAAAAGTATATAAAATATTGTTTTTAGTGGGTGTGTTTTTTTTGCATTGATTGAAATGATAGAGCAAATGTCTTTTAATGCATGAAAAAGAATGCGACATTTTAAAGAAATCTATAAATGCTTTGCTAGTGGAGTAAGCATATACAAATATGAAGTCTATATCTTAACTATCATATATAAAGAAGCAAATTTATCAAAAAGAGAAATTTCAAATGCTAAAAACTCTCATTTTCTCTAGGTGTATGACTAAGATTAATATGATAGTGTTAAATTCTGTAAATTTGCTGAATTACAAAACCAAAAGCCTGGGGAGTTAAAAAGATATATAATATAGAACATTACCATATCTTACATGATACCTGATATCACCTAAATTGATTTAGAAGTGTGTGTTAGTTCTGCTCACGATTTGATTGATTGAATATTGTTTTACGTCCCATTCGAGAATGTTTCACTCATGCAGAGACGTCATCGTATGCCAGTTAAGGGATTCAAATTTAGACCTATAATCGGCTCTCATGGCCATTGAGCAGTGAGGATTCTTTATCATGTCAGTGCCTACCTTGACACAAGACCTACGTTTTTAAGGTCATATCCGAAGGGTCAGTGACTTTCACTTCTGATGCCAAGCGCTCGGCGAAGGAACAGTCACTTCCTATGTTTACGTCTTATGTTTGATGCGGCGCTGCGAACGAGAATCGAACCCAATCATGAGATGTATGTTTATTCTAGTACCATTTTGTACTTTTGAGCTTGATTGCTGTTTGTTATTCTCGTTTTTCAGTTTAAGGTCAAGATCTTGTAAATAGAGGTGCCTACAGTTCTCTTAAATTTGAAAAACAAATCTCTTTTGTTTTTATAAAGTAGTGCTTTATACATTTAAATTGGTCATTTAAGGTAAATCGGGAGATAATTTGCAGATAAACAAAACGAAAAATCATATTTTAAACTGTTATTTCCAATGAAAAATTGATAAAGCTTGTCATGATTACATAAAATGTATCCAGAGGGCCCACAGTCTTTTCTACATAATTCTATTAGTGCCTTAAAGTAAAGGAGAGAGAAATTTGAACTTAATTATGATGTAATAAAGGATCTAGCACCAAAAAGTCATTTACTAGATCTTCACCTCAAATTTTCATGTACTAAAGCATAATGGTTTATTTAAATGATGTTGATAAGAAAATGATAAGAAGTGTTTCTTAGTTTTGAAGAAACTAATATAATGAGTTTCTTAGGTTAGATTCGTTTACTGTTTTGTAAAGATTCTGCTCTCTGTGTAGATGTCCCTGATGATTCTTCTACCATCTCCTGATTTATCCCAGGTGTATGTATTAAGGTCTGTTGCAATGTTACGGTTAATCCCACACTTTTTGTTTTTGGCATACTAGTTGTCAACTCTGAATATTCAATGAAACAAAACATAAAATTCATCATGAATGAAATTACGAAAAATATAAATTGATTAATTTTTTTTAAACTTTATGTATGTTATACCTTTTGGGCATCCATTTACACGATTGCATCTTTCGGCTTCACAAGAGCATGAAGTCGTGCACAGTCGACCATAGAAACCTGATTTGCATTTTCCCGTACAATTTTGTCCAAAACTTCCGAAAAGACACTCTATATATATAAACAAAATGTCGAAAGGTAAATGTGGTGAAAAGTAATTATATAAAGTGAATTGCTGGGATGGTCGGTAATAGAAATTTTGTTTTTACTGATCATTTTAAAATGAATATTTTTGAACATCAATTTCTTATTTAATTTAGTTTTTTATTTTCCAAAACACCATAATGTAATATTTGAAAGTTATTCAAAAGATACAAAAAAAATTCTAACAAAATAAGAGCTATTGCTTTGATTGCTTACCTAAGCAGCTTCCATTGTATTTATCAAAGTAGTAATTATAATCACACACATAATGGTCCCTAGAATGAAAAGTGTGTATCTTTTTGTTTGATACCCGCTTGTGTTATAGTTTAAAATAACAACATCCAAACAAAGTAACAAACCAAAGAAACAAACATTGACATAAACGAATGTAAAACAGAGATGGATATATCTTACGTCTCTGAAGAATCCAATGTTCCATTATTCGTGCCTAAAACCAATACGAATAAGCACCATTTAATACTTCTTGTATCCACCATCGTACGATTTGACACGAGGAAACAGATACACTAATGCTTTGATTATATATACTATTTTAACAGATTAAATAAAGGAAATGAATTCTCAAAATGACACAATATTGAATAATAAATTGATTGTTTACCGAAACATTTTCCTGCATAGTTATTATCGAAACATTTCCATAAAATTACAAGGAAAGAAAATGAAAATAATTCCTGGAACTATATGTAAACTGAGCTGCATATCAAACCGAAAGTGTGGAACAATTTGCTGTTGAATTCCTGTTGCATAAAAAACGACTTTTTTGTCGAATAAACCAATTTCAAATACAGATAATTTTTAAATGCATATCAATCATATCTCCGATTTTAAACTTAAAAGATTGTATCAAAATACGTAATCAAGGAACAAATAAGTATAATACTATCATTAATTAAGTTTTGGAGTAGGTATCAATTGACTTTATACGTCGTGAGTATTAGGGTTTTAAATACAATTACACATCAGAATATTTTTCCCTTTTTTTTAAAAAATTGTTCGCTAGTTTGGTATTCATAGTTCCTCTTCTGCTTAACGTCCAGGAACTTCTCTTTCCCTGTCAGAAACTGCCGAGTCACGCCATATTTAATTTCCGATTTTCCTTAATGAATTTATGAAATGATTCTAATTGTTTATTTTAAAATAAATGTTCTTTTAATAAATCTCTTTATCGAATAGTTTTAAACACGGTGACGTTCATTTGAAACTTGAAAATTTCATTATGTACTCCAAATCACCCAAATATATTTAATTTATATTTCTTACAAATATTGATCGAATATAAATTTATTCGTGAGTATTCGGAAATATTTTTGTATTCCTAAACATTGCAATTCGATAAATAAGAATTATGTATTTATACTCTCTTCTTTTTCATATCTTTTTTTCTAAAACTAAACGGTCATATTATGTTTCCAATCCAGTTATGTGTATGTTACTGTTAACTTATGTAACTTATGTAGTCATTATCTTTTTCCTCTTGTCTTGCATTATCAGACAAACAGAACATTTACTAACCCCTCACCATAAATTAATACCTCATTTCATTTTATTCGGCTAAAAATATCACAGAATGCCATGATTCCCATTTAATCCATCACACATTTTCCTACTAACCTACTAATAGAGAAAAACCACACATTATTTCAGCACTATGCTACTAAATAAAGATATAAAATTCTCCCACTTTTATCATTTCATTTCATTTCAGTTTACGGGTCACGGTAGCCTAGTGGTAGAGCGTTCGCTTCGTTATCAGAGGGCCCTGTTTTGAGTTTGAGTCTCATTGGCAGCGTCAAACCTAATACGTTATCAGAGGTATTAACTGTTCTTTCGCCTAGAGTTATGGATCTTTCGGATATGACCTTAAAAACGTAGGCAATGACACGATAAAGAACCCTCAATGCGACTTAGTGCCGAATAAAGGTCTAAATTTAAAGCCCTTCACGGGCATATGGAGGCGTCTCCATATGAGTGAAAATTTCTTGAATGGGGAGATAAACAATATACAATCAATCAATCATTTCATTTTAATCAGGTAAAAATATCACTGAATGTCATGATTCACATTTAAAACATTACCGATTAACCTATTTATAGAAAAAAAATGGTTTTAGCACTATGCTACACAAAAAGAGACCTAATTTAGCATATACGTACATTTATTTTTATATAAGTTACATGACATACAGATAATAGGTATAACCTTAAGCTTAAGATAGCCCATAAAAGCTTCTTTTTTAAAAACAAATTTAATTCGAATGGTAACCTTAAATAACAAATAATTTTGTAACAAAACATTAGATTTATATTGGAAATAAGGCGGGGTACTTTTATGAATAAAGCATAACACTTTGAAAAATGACATGTTTTCAACAAGAATTGTTACTGTTAGTGAGTAATACGTAAAGTTTATAGGCAAAATATTGTCATTCTGTGAGAAGAAAGAACTGTTCTTCATTCTTACAGAATAGGCAGTTAGGGGCATATAGCCTACTTAAAACATTTACTCTATTATCTTTTTCACATCTTTTGTATAAAAAAACATTCCTTACTTATATGGGAAGTACGTTGTTTTCAATCAAAAGAAACTTGCATTCATAGTAATCATTAACTTCATGGGCAGTTACAGGTCTAGGTAAGTGCAATTTTTAAATATCTGACTAAACAATGTTTAATCACAAGGCACGAGAATCAAACACTACTTTGTTGTGATTGTGAATGCTGAAAGCATCTAATCCTCAGAGGGAAAAAGCAATGTATTTTTTATGCGAAACAAATTCAGATATGCAGGGCAATGCATATGCCATTCTCAAATAATTTTATTTTGTTTATATTCTCGCCTCTCATTGGTTGATTTCCAAAAAGGAACGCAAAACAATTTGTATAATTGCAGTTAATTGTAATGTGTAATTGGATTGTTTTCCAAGTCTTAGTGGCGTACTGTAATTAGATTGGCTTCCATTTCTTATTCCACGATCTCCGTTCAACAAATCGTATATCTACGCTCCATCATCATAGCTAGGGATTGCCGATTATTCATTGCGCTTGTATCTGACTGTTTCATTCCTACCAAATATATAGATTTAAAAGATGTATGTAATGTAAAGATTTCTTTTAAGTGATAAAAAGATTGAATGATTGATTGTATACTGTTTAACGTCCCTCTCCAGAATATTTCACTGATATGGAGACTTCACCATTGCCGGTGAAGGGCTGCAAATTTTGGCCTATGCTCGGCACTTACGGCCTTTGAGCAGGGAAGGATCTTTATCGTGCCACACCTGCTGTGACACGGGGCCTAGGTTTATACGGTCTCATCCGAAGGACCGCCCCATTTAGTCGCCTTTTACGACAAGCAAGAGGGTACTGAGGACCTATTCTAACCCGGATTCCCACGGGGTAAGTGATAAAAAGAGAAAACACAATAAAAGCTGCATGATATACAAATTTGTATTGTTTTGTGATTGTTTAAAAACTCTATTGAGTCAACAAGGGACACAAACTCGAAGAGTTCATTCGGTGCCCCTCGGATATCATAAGGAAAATTAAACATATATCATATGTACAGTCTTCAGATTCCAAGTTTTGGGTATAAAACCAATACTTCATACAAAAATTGAGAGAAGAACTTTATTCGGTAGTAACCAATATTTGCCCCCCAAATCAAACTTTGATGGAGATATATTAAATTAAGTTCTTAAATAGGGGAGTATAAGCTGACTTCAAATCACTTAATATTTTCATAAGTAATAACGCCATATATACGTAATGACGTCACAAACATGACGTAAATTTTAGTTTTTTATGAATTTTACAGAAAAATGTACATATTTCGTCGATATTTTGAGCAAAAGTCACCAAGCGCATGTGTGTTCAGGATCAATATTTTGATATAATGTGAAAAATGATAATAACAATGAAATATGTCAAGAATTGTTCCTGAACAAACTTGCGTTCTATAAATTTTAAAGCTAAAATTGTTGAAATTTTGTCCATTTTGTCCTCTTTCGGAAAAAGGATATAGAATCGGACTAGTTTGTGACGTCATGAAAACAAAAATTGTGAATACACTGCTTTGACACCATAATATTTTCTGTTAATTTATATTTCTCATACAAGTTATTGAATTCAGCACATTTCAGGAAGTTCCCAAAATTTGACATTTGTAGGAGCAAATATATGCAGTATACCGCATATAGTTCTTTAAAGTTCCATTTAGATAAATATTCAAAAATTTTTGTAAAATCTGTGACATTTTGATAACTAACAATTTTTTACTAGATATCTTCTTGGACAGAGCTTCTACATCAAAATCTGAGAAAATTAGAATAGCAAATCTTCTAATGCTGTCTACGGAATAGAATGGACTCATTGTGAACTTGTTTATGATAGTGAAACAAAGTATTTACTTCATTAAAGAATACCGGATTACAGATATCAAATTATAACAACTGTGAAGAACCACTTCTTTTCAATCATTTTAATTAACCTGATCATTCTATTTTGTCAATGAAAGTTATAATTCTAGATTTTGTACAATGACAATGCCGATATTGTAGGGAATCTCTCTAGTCCTCAGTGTAACATGTCATTGTAAGGAGAGTTTTTAATCGTACACAGATATGTAAACGTAGTCATGGACAACGGTCTAACAATAAATTTTTAATACACGATGTCTCTTTTCATTCATTACTACCTTATGTATAAAAATAACAGTTGGGTCTTCATCACTTCCGAGCTATTCTTTACTCTGTCCCTTTGACACCTTTGAATAGTCATCTCGAAAAGGTAATGGAAATCACTATCTTTTTCAACCGCCATATTTGACATTAAACATTTAAACAAAAGTTCATTAAACAAATCAAAGGAGGAGTAGAGCAAACACGAACCTCCAAAACATCAGAGGTGGGATCAGGTGCCATACGTGAAAGAATAAAACGTTTGCTGTGTCCTTAACTGGACATTTAGATGTATCGATGACATAATGTCAATTAACAATTAACGATACATCTGTTTCTATCTGACACAACTGTTCCTCTTTTGATTCAACAAGCAAGAGTGTGCTCAACGTATGAAAAATTTCTAAAACGAAGTAAACTACTGACAAACAAGCAAAGTTCAAGAATATCAGCAGTCTCGTTTAAAGTCTTCGTTGTATGGTCTTTACAATGACCTTCAAAATACAATTCATCATTGAGTCAAATGCTGAATAACGTTTTCATACTAACTTGTTAGTGAATTATTTTAACACCGAATTGACGACGAATTTTTCCTTTTTTATCATGTTTATGACAAGGAGCACACGGCGGGTGTGACTGGTCGGCAAGGGATGCTCACGCCTCTATGCCACCTTACCCCAACTCCGATATTTTGGAGGTCTGTGTTTGCTATGCTCATATTTTTTCTTTGTTTCATGGACTTTTGATCTTGAATACTGTTCGTTATCTCCATATGTTAAAGTATGAGAGATTTTCGAAAAGGTTAAATTGAACATACCAGTATGGAATACTCGTAAATAAAAGTATTTGTTTAACTGTTGTATTTTTTTCCGAGGGGTATTTATTAACGCTATGTACGCGGCAACATTTTTTCCAAATGAACCTAATATAGGCATGTGCATATACTGCGAATGTAATAAATTTTTACCCGCAGATTAACAGAAATAGATCCCTTGGAATTATGACCCCGTTGAATAAGAACGTCTACAGTATTTATTTATGTAATCAGAATAAATGAGAAAATAGGATTTTTGAAAATGTTGTTTAAGCTTACCAATGTGGTTGTCTGGTTTTCTAGTACGCTTCCTGATATTATACCTAAAGTGAATCCAAAAGCTTTATATAATGATCTTTTTATATACACATTACATAATCATGCAGAATGTTACAACATTTGTTATAAATGTTGTGAATAAAGTGCTTGTCCTTACCCTTTCAGCCATGCGGTGAAATCTTAATTAAAAAGAAGAGGAAAGTGCTCTTTTGGTTTTAATGTTATGACTTTAAAAATGCGATGTTTTCCGAAGGGTTGGAAATCGACTTATTATGAGGTGAACACATGAATGTAATTATCATGAAAATGTTGGCATAGAGGAGGGCTAATATAAAATATAATGTCACTGACATATAAGTAGAATGATGTGTATGGTCATAGTTCACGAAGTTTGAAAAGAACAGAAAACATGCCGTTTAATTTCCAACACCAATTTTATACTTCAAAAACACAGGGCCAGATTAGTATTGAAGCTGTATATGTATTACATGAAGGTGCAGAAGAATTACTTGTATTTAAAATTAGCATAATATTGGTTTATCGTCTATATGGCGTGGATTTCTTAGGTCATCTATTGGAATTTCGGATGCCTTTTCTATTCCAATGTTTATTAGATCCAATGGATAATTTTGTAGTCTTAAATATATTTTTAATTCTTCCAAACGTCTACATCGTAGGGTTTCATCTATAATAATTGTACAAATTCTTCGTACTAAATGATGACCGGAAAATAGCCTTTGTAGTTACCCATAACCCAAGGAACAGAAACATCCTTATGGACGCTAAAAGATTTTATCCCATTTTAGAACAATCGGAAAACATGAAAAGTTTAGTTCAGCCAAATGATATCATAAACAGTCGACGACAAGCACAAAGTCTTAAAAAACTGTTGACCAAGGCCCGTTTTACTACACAGGAGGAAATTCCAACCATTAAAAAATGCGGAGATCCGAGATGCGGAACATGTACATATTTAGAAGAGGGGAATAAAATCCAACTTTAATCAGGAATAGAAATTCGAACCAACTCATCTATGAACTGTAAATCGGAAAACGTCATCTACTGTGCCATCTGTCCGACGTGTAAAGAATATTATATTGGACAAACGGGAAAATTAAATTTCAGGGTTCGTGTGCACAAGCAACAAATTAAAGACCATAGTGTGCGTAATACACTGTGTTGTGAACATTTCGCAAAATGTGGCAAAGGAATATTTAAGATTTTCCCTTTTTATAAACTTCCAAATGAAAACGAAAATTTACGTTTTGCAAAAGAAGACTATTTTATCAACCTCTTTAAACCCAAACTTAATCGCAAATGATACTGTATATTTCATATTTTGAAATTTCATTTGTATAATGTGTGAAAGTTAATGCAAGAATTGTACATTATACAATTATTGACTTTTGATGACGTCTACTCGTGACTATACAGACAAAGGCTCTACAGTTGTAGTAATGGATAAAGAGACTTACATGGCGGAGGCCCAAAGACAACTCTCAGACGAACGTTTCTATAAGAAACTGGACTCTGACCCTACTAAAGAATTCTCCACCGCCATTACCAAAACTCTTGACGATATGTTTGAGAAAAATGAGATTGGTATCAACGTCTATGAGACCTTAAATCCTATTGACTGTAGACCAGGACAATTCTATCTGCTTCCTAAAATACACAAAGAAGGCATGCCAGGTCGCCCCATAGTCAGCGCAATTGGACACCCCACGGAGAAAATTTCTGAATTCATTGATTTACATCTCCGTCCACACGTACAAAGTTTGCCATCCTATCTTAAGGACACTACGGACTACATTAACAAGACTCCCTCTACTGGCCTCCCAAATCATACCCTCCTCGTGACTATGGACGTCACATCTTTGTACACCAATATTCCGCACGATGAGGGTATCGAAGCCTGTAGAGAAGTCTGGGATAGTAGATCCATACAAATTCCTTCTACCGAGTCCCTTGCTAAGCTCCTTGAACATGTTCTCAAGTTCAACAACTTCATGTTTAATGGAGAACATTATCTGCAGGTTAGTGGCACTGCTATGGGTACGAAAATGGCACCCTCTTATGCCAATATCTTCATGGGCAGACTGGAACGCAACTTGTTACATCAAGCACCATTTAGGCCCCATAGCTGGTTGCGTTTCATTGACGATATAGAGATGAAGTGGGTGGAATGTCGCGAGAGCCTCGAGGCATTCATTACGTAGGCCAACACCTTTCATCAGTCGATCAAATTTACAGTAGACATATCTAATTCGAAAAACGTTTTCCTAGATACTACA